ACTGGCCACCTATTCGAGGCAGAGACGATGCCAGATCCGCAGGGGAAAGGGGAAAGGGACCCAGCTTCAAAGTTCTCTCCCCTTTTTGAGTTCTCCTTGGAGACACTTTGGAAATGAAACCTCCTGGAAATTGATATTAGACCTCTGCAGGCTGAGCTTGTTAAAATTTCCCAACAAACAGCCAGCAGAAACTCTGTGAGGAAGCAAGAACAAGACAAAACAAACATTTGCAGATCCTTTTCCATCCACTCTTGGCAGAGGGCATTCCTCTGAGAAAATGCCCCCACGAGTTTCTCCATGGCCTCTTGAGTTGGTGGCCAAAGGATTTAGTTTCTCTTTGAAATTGTAACTTTACTGGGCCTGCTTTTTGGTAGGGATATCTCTCTCTGTCTTATATGCGTGTCTATACAGGGACAGGTATAATCACACCTGTAATCCCAGCACTTTGGGAGGCCGAGGCAGGTGGATCACTTGAGCCCCAGGAGTCCAACACCAGCCTGAACAACATAGTGAGTCCCTGTCTCTACAAAAAGTAACAAAAATAACCAGGCATGGTGGCATGTACCCGCAATCCCAGCTACTTGAGATGGCTTGAGGCCAGGAGTTAAAGGTTGCAGTGAGCCATGATCACACCACTGCACTTCAGCCTGAGCAACAGAGCAGGACCATGTCTCTTAAAAAAAATTGTTACACACGCACACATACACACACACACACACACACACACCCCATACAGATGATGAGAAAATACTCTCAGCCAGGTTTTCATGTGATACACATCTCAAAAAGCATCATGGCCGGGCGCGGTGGCTCACACCTATAATCCATCCCAGCACTCTGGGAGGCTGAGGCAGGCAGATCATGAGGTCAGGAGTTCGAGACCAGCCTGGCCGACATGGTGAAACCCCGTCTCTACTAAAAATATGAAAATCAGCCGAGCATGGCGGTACGCGTCTAGTTCCAGCTACACGGGAGGCAGAGACGAAATTCACTTGAACCTGGGAAGCGGAGGTTGCAGTGAGCCGAGATCGTGCCACTGCACTCTAGCCTGGGTGACAGAGTGACACTCCATCTCAAAAAAAAGCAAAAAAGCATCACAAGCAGGTTAGAATTCGGAATTTCTTTGTGGATTGTCTAAGATGTTAGGGAAATGTTAATTTAGAATTTACCTCATTTAGGCCAGGCCTGTAATCCCAGCACTTTGGGAGGCCAAGGCCAGCAGATCCCTTGAGGTCAGGATTTTAGCCTGGCCAACGTGGCGAAATCCCGTCTCTACTTAAAATATAAAAAAAGAAATTAGCTGGTGTGGTGGCACATGCCTGTAGTTCCAGCTACTCTGGAGGCTGAGGAAGGAGAATCACTTGAACCTGGGAGGCAGAGGTTGCAGTGAGCCGAGATCACCAAGATAGTGTATTATACTTCAGCCTGGGTGACAGTGAGACTCAAGATACATAAGATAAACATATTTTTATTTATAAATAGATAAATATATTTTTATTTATAAATAAATAAATATTTATAAATATACACATTTATAAATAAAAATACATAAATATACACATTTATAAATAAATATTTAATAAATATTTGTTTATTAAACTCATGCCTATAATCCCAGCATTTTAGGAGGCTAAGGCATGAGAATCACTTGAACCCGGGAGGTGGGGGTTGCAGTGAGCCGAGATCCTGCCATTGCACTCCAACCTGGGCAACAGAGTGAGATTGTCTCAGAAAAAAAAAAAAATAAAAAACTATTAAATAGTTTTAAATTTTATATATATATGTTACAAAACAAGTGATATTTGTATGTTTCCAAAATATAACAGCGGGACAGGCGTAGCGTAGATGTTCCCATTGCCAAAGGCAGAAATGACAGGGGGTAAAGAGGTCACCAGTCCTCAGCAAGTGCTAAATCCAGCATGACAAATCCCATTAGGTTTCAAGGCCTGAGAAGAATCCTCAGTGACTCTCAGCTCATTAACATACTTAGTTCTCAGAGCCAGACTCAATGAGGTCACCACCCCCATGTTACGGGTCAGGAACTGGGGCTAAGTAACTCACTGGAGATTATGTGGCAAAGAAGCTCTAAGATCATCGCTTCAGTCTCCAAGATATGCACAAGATTCTACTCCTGCTATCCCAAGTTTTTAAATGAGGGAACGTAGGCTCAGAGAGGTTAAGCAAACCACACAGGGCCGCCCGGCTAGTGACGTTGCCGAAGCTTCGCCAGGGGTAGGGACTCATGCCTGTCATCCCAGCGTTTTGGGAGGCTGAGGCAAGAGGATCACTTAAGCCCAGGAGCTTGACACCAGCCTGGGATATAGTGAGACCTCATCTCTACAAAAAGAAAAATTAGGCCGGGCAAGGTGGCTCATGCCTGTAATCCCAGCACTTTGGGAGGCCGAGGCAGGTGGATCATCTGAGGTCGGGAGTTCAAGACCAGCCTGACCAACATAGAGAAACTCCGTCTGTACTGAAAATACAAAAATAGCCAGGCATGGTGGCGCCTGCCTGTAGTCCCAGCTACTCGGGAGGCTGAGGCAGGAGAATCGCTTGAAGCCGGGAGGCGGAGGTTGCAGTGAGCCAAGATTGTGCCATTGCACTCCAGCCTGGGCAACAAGAGTAAAACTGCATCTCAAAAAAGTAAAAAGAAAAAGAAAAATTAAAAAGCTAGCCATGCATGGTGGTGGGAGGATTGCCTGAGCCTGGGAGATGGAGATTGCAGTGAGCTGAGATCACACCACAACCTGGGTGACAGAGTGAGACCCTATCTCAAAAAAAAAAAAAACATTGCCGAGATTCGAACCCAGGTCAGCCTGTCTTTTCAAACGTCACTCTATGACCCACTCATGAAACTGAGAAGGGCAGAAAGGTGCTTGGACCTGCCCGTTTCCCCTGTGTGGTCTCAGAGAAACAGTGGAGCTGCCCCGGCTGCTCCTTCCGGGAAGTATTCATAGAAGCATCCCACTTACCTACTTTGGTCTGAAAATAAATTAGCTTGTCTCTTCTGCATACTAAAAACACCACGGGTTTTTGCAAGTTAAAATGCAAAAATAAAATGAGGAACATGATGCTGGTAGTTGAGCCAGTGGAAAGCCCTCTAGGGAAAGCCAGCCTATCTGTCTGTCTGTCTGTGTCTATACCTATCTGTCTACCTATCTATGTATGTATGTATGTATGTATCTGTCTATCTGTCTGTCCGTCTATGTATATATGTATGTATCTATGTCTGTCTATGTATGTATGTATGTATCTGTCTGTCTGTCTATATATGTATGTATCTGTCTGTGTATGTATGTATCTGTCTATGTATGTATGTATGTATCTGTCTGGCTATATATGTATGTATCTGTCTGTGTATGTATCTGTCTATGTATGTATGTATGTATCTGTCTATGTATGTATGTATGTATCTATGTATGTATGTATGTATCTGTATATGTATCTGTCTGTCTATGCATGTATGTATCTATATATGTATGTATCTGTATGTATCTGTCTATGTATGTATGTATGTATCTGTCTATATATGTATCTGTCTATATATGTATGTATCTGTCTGTGTATGTATGTATCTATCTGTCTGTCTGTCTATGTATGTATGTATGTATCTGTCTGTCTGTCTATCTATCTGTTATTTTCAGGTAGACTGTGTGAAGCCAGGGCTGTGTTTTCCAGGGGTCAGTAGTCCAGAAGGCATCAGATGGGCTGCAGAGTGAGTCTCCGTCCATGTGCAGATGGCAGGCGGCAGGGTCCAGGTGTCCATGGCTTGGAGAGGCAGGGGTTGATGGGAGGTCTGAGGCTGTGGGATCTCTCCTGGGGCCTCAGTATCCTCATCTGGATAATGGGGGCATTCCGGCCAGGCATGGTGGCTAATGCCTATAATTCTGGCACTTTGGGAGGCTGAGGTAAGTGAGTCACTTGAGGCCAGGAGTTCAAGATCAGCCCAGGCAACATGGCAAAACCCCGCCTCTATTGAAAATAGAAAAACTAGCCGGACGTGGTGGTCCACACCTGTAATCCCAGCCATTCGGGAGGCTGAGGCGTGAGAATCACTCGAACACGGGAGGCAGAGGTTACATTGAGCTGAGATCCTGCCACTGCACTCCAACCTGCGAACAGAGTGAGACTGTCTCAGAGAAAAAAGAAAAGAAAATGGAGGTATTTGCTTATCATTTGACAATAAGTTGCCCAGCATCGACTGTGTGAGAGGCCCTGCACTAGGCAGTGAAAACTCAGCTACGAATAAGAAAGTTAAAAACAGGCTGGGTGTGTGGCTTAATGCTTTTAACCACAGGTGTGGGGCAGGTGCCTGTAATCCCAGCTACTCGGGAGGCTGAGGCAGGAGGATGGCTTGAACCCAGGAGGCAGAGGTTGCAGTGAGCCAAGATTGCACCACTGCACAACAGAGCGAGGCTCCATCTCAGAAAAAAAGAAAGAAAAAGAAATAAGATGCTGGGGATTTGTGGAAAACTGTCCACAGACAAGTGAAGGTCTTGATCTCTTAGCAAGAATTGAACAGGCCCCTCTCAATTCCGGGTGCTCGAGGGATCTGGGACACAACTTCTCCATGACCAAATTGTACCCTTTTCTTTTTTTTTTTTTTTGTGTGACAGAGTCTCACTGTGTCACCCAGGCTGGAGTGCAGTGAGACGATCATGGCTCACTGTGGCCTCAACTTCCTGGGCTCAGGCAGTCCTCCTGCCTCAGCCTCCCAAGTAGCTTGGACTACAGGCACACACCACCACGCCTGTAAATTTATGCATTTTTTTTTTTTTGTAGAAACGAGGTCTCCCGATGTTGCCCAGGCAGGTCTTGAACTCCTGGCCTTAAGCGGCCCTCCTGCCTCGGCTTCTCAAAGTGCTGGGATTACAGGCTCTAGCCACTGCGCCCAGCCCAAGTGGTACTCCTGAAAGATGGAATCTCAGCTAGGATCCCGAACTGTTGCCCTTTCTCCTAACTCAGGTGTTGGTTCTTTTTCATTCACTTGCCTTCCTCAGAGAGAACCAGGGTTCTGGGGTCCCTGTGTGTGGCCCCAACCTGTCAACCACACGGCCGATCCAGCAGGACCTGGGCCGCCAAGACCCACCCCTGGCAGAGGACATTGACAACATGAAGAACAACAAGCTGGCCACGGCGGAGTCGGCCGGCCCCCACGACAGCCTCGGCCACTCCGGCCTGCCCCAGAGCCCAGCCAAGATGGGAAACAGCACTGACCCCGGCCCCATGCCGGCCGGCCCTGCCATGGCCACCAACCCCCAGAACGCCACCAGTCGCCGGACGCCCAACAACCCGGGGAACCCATCCAATCCCGGCCCCCCCAAAACCCCCGAGAACAGCCTTATCGTCACCAACCCCAGCGGCACCCAAACCAATTCAGCTAAGACTGCCAGGAAACCCGACCACACCACCGTGGATATCCCTCCGGCCTGCCCACCCCCCCTCAACCACACCGTTGTGCAAGGTGAGACCCTCCGCCCTCACACGTCGCCGGGCAAGGGACCCGGTGCCCCTGCAGCCAGAGGCTCTGCTGAGTGACCCTGGACTGTGACCCCATCTCTCCCTTCTCGTTTCCTCCCCTGGAAAATGGGCGTAGGTGTAGTTTCCTACCCCAGAGGGCTGTGGAGGGTTCGGTGAGGTCTCCTGTGCGCTGTGCCGGGCATGGAGACGTGTTGGATTGGGTTAGCGATATCTCCTATGTCCTCCCTTCCCTTCGGGGAGCCAGGAGGCCGCCCCATTTGAGAAACAATGGGGTTCTTTGATGGAAGCTTTAGGGGGGTCAGATGATTGATTCTGTCGGCCCAGCACTGTCCAAAAGAAACGTAACAGAGGCCACATGCATACATCCGTTTAAACTTTCCTGTCACCAAATTGAAAAAGGGCCAGGTGTGCTGGCTCACGCCTGTCATCCCAGCACTTCGGGAGGCCAAGGTAGGAGGATTGCTTAAGCCCAGCCTGGACAACATAGAGAGATCCCACCTCTACAAAAAAATTTTAAAAATTGGTCGGGCGTAGTGGTGTGCGCCTGTAGTCCTGTCTACTAGAAGGCAGAGGTGGGAAGATCACTTGAGCTCAGGAGTTCGAGGCAGCAGTGGGCTAGGATTGTGCTGGCGCTCTAGCCCGGGCAACAGAGGGAGATCCTGTCCAAAAAAAACAAAAGAGGGAAGGAGGGAGGGAAAGAAGGAAGGAAGGAAGGAAGGAAAAAACATAAAAGAAACAGGTAAAATGAACTTTAATGGTTCATTACATTTAGCCCAAAATGTTATTTATCCAAAATGTTATTTCAGCCTATAATGAATATTTTTTAAATTATTAACAAGATATTTTACATTCTCTTATACTCAGTCTTCAACATCTGGTGTGTTTTTTATTTGTTTGGTTTTTGGTTTTTGGGTTTTTTTAGAGACACAGTCTGGCTCTGTCGCCCAGGCTGGAGTGCAGTGGTGTGATCTTGGCTCACTGCAACCTCTGCCTCCCAGGTTCAAGCAACTCTCAGGCCTTAGCCTCCCAAGCAGCTGGGATTGCAGGTGCACGTCACCAGGCCTGGTTCATTTTTTGTATTTTCAGTAGAGACCGAGTTTCACCGTGATGCCTAGGCTGGTCTCAAACTTCTGGCCCCAGTGATCTACCCGCTCCAACCTCCCCAAGTGCTGAGATTACAGGTGTGAGCCCCTCACCCGGCCTCTGCTGTGTGCTTTTTGCATTTTCAACACATCCTAAATTGGACTCGCCACATTTCAAGGGCGCGGTAGCCACCTGGAGGCAGTAACGACCCTGTGAACGGCACAGACCTACACTCCCGAGGCACTGGCAGTTCGTGGTCCTGTAAGATCAGGATCAGAGAAGCACTGAGGAATTTAAAGATGAACTGCTGGCCAGGCGTGGTGGCTCACCCCTGGCATCCCAGCACTTTGGGAGACCAAGGCAGGAGGATCACTTGAGGTCAGGAGTTCAAGACCAGCCTGACCAACATGGTGAAACCCCATCTCTACTAAAAAAAATACAAAAATTAGCCAGGCATGGTGGTGCCTGCCTGCAATCCCAGGGACACAGGAAGCTGATGATGCAGGAGAATCGCTCCGGGAGACGGAGGTTGCAGTGAGCTGAGATCTCGCCATTGCACTCCAGCCTAAGCAACAAAGTGAGACTCCATCTCAAAAATAAAAGAAAAGGTGAACTGCTGAGTGGTTTATGTCTTAAGTTCCTGTAGTATCAGTTCTGTGTGAGAAATTTTCATGGGTTTGCTGGATAAAGGCTTTCCATGGTCCTGAGACCTAAGTTCCTAAGATCTCGTCACTGTGCCCATTTTATAGATGTAGGAACTGAGGCTCAGAGAGGCTCAGCTTGCCCGTGGGCACATAAGCAGGCTGGGCTGCAGAATGGAAGCTCCAGATGCTGGTGGCTCCTCCCCGCCAAATCAAGAGAGAGGTGCTAATGGGGGCAAGCCCTGCGGTTTATGGGAGGTGTCAGTATTTCCATCTGTTCAGTGGGTCTCTTGGCACTCTCCCTACCTGCCTCCAAGTGAGAATGTGAAGGTCCAAGAAGGATGGGGCAGGTCTGTGTTAAGATCCCACAAGGGCCTCATGCACTCAAGGCTATGGAGTGGTAGAGAGCAGGCTCTCAGGGGCCAGGCCGCCTGGGTTCCAAATGCCAGCTCTGCCACTTCCCGCTGTGTGACCTTAGACAAGTCACTTTACTTCTCTGTGCCTCCATTTCCTCATCTGTGAATGGGGGATCCGAATATATCAACCTCAGGGCCATGCAAGGGTTTAGTGATGTCATGAGATGCCTGGTATACAGCAGGCACTTTATAAATGTCAGCTACTTCTTGCCTGCCCTGGGAGTACATGGAGTTCCCAGAGACTTGTGGGAAATTGTGGAGGGCGCCCTGTGTCGGTTCTTGTCCCAACAGTGAACAAAAACGCCAACCCAGACCCACCGTCAAAAAAAGAGGAAGAGAAGAAGGAGGAGGAGGACGACGACCGTGGGGAAGACGGCCCTAAGCCGATGCCTCCCTATAGCTCCATGTTCATCCTGTCCACAACCAACCCGTGAGTATGGCCCCCAGCAAGGGCAGCGGGGCCTGGGGCTCCCACCAGGGTGGTGGAAGTCAGGCCAGAGAGAGGGCAGTGAGTGAGCGTTGACCACCATGAGTCCAAGGGGACCTCTGAACAAGTTGGAAACGGATGCTCCTTCCTTAAGTCACGTACAATGATTTGTCACAATATATTGACTTTGTTGGAAGAGACCCACTTCCTGCCATCCACTAGAAAATCATTGTCATAAATTCCCAAATTTATGTTGTATGTGATGTAAGAGGCACCCTCCCCGAGCCGGGCGCAGTGGCTCACACCTGCAATCCCAGCACTTTGGGAGGCCGAGGCGGGCGGATCATGAGGTTGGGAGTTTGAGTAAAACCTCATCTCTACTAAAAATACAAAAATTAGCTGGGTGTCGTAGCATATAGCTGTAATCCCAGCTACTTGGGATGCTGAGGCAGGAGAATTGCTTGAACCTGGGAGGCAGAGGTTGCAGTGAGCTGAGATCACACCACTGCACTCCAGCCTGGCAACAGAGCAAGACTCCATCTCAAAAAAATAAAAATAAAAGAGACACCCCTCCCACTTAGAAATGGCTGAATTAGGCTGGGTGCAGTGACTCACGCCTGTAATCCAAGCACTTTGGAGGCTAAGGCAGGTGGATCACCTAAAGTCGGGAGTTCAAGACCAGCCTGACCAACATGGTGAAACCCCGTCTTTAAAA